GCGGACCAGCAACTTTCCATTTGTCGGGTCACTGAAGTCGACACCTACAACCGACATACCACATAGTTGCACAATTAACTTCTCGAACTTCGGGGGCTAGTATTTCACAGGGTTAGCTACTTTGATTCCTTGCGATCTTGCTACGCCGCGAAAAGTGCAAAAACGCATAGTCGCACCGGCCCGCCTGGTGCGTTCCAGCCTGAGTTGAGCATAACATCGAGTATTTTCAAAAGATCCTAAAGCAGAGCATCGTGGCTAATTCAAATCCCTAGGCCAACAATCAGTGGACCCATTCAGTCCTTTTCAGTTATCCTTTATTTTGAGGAATAGCATTAAGTGCTGGCAGGCATCCACAAAGAAGCTACTTCAATAGTTCAAGAGCAAATTAGCTTACCAAATGCGGAATCATCGGATTTGAATCAAAAGACGCACCCGTGCCATGAAGGAAAGTAGTGCGGCCGATACAGGTCCCGTACCGAACAAGACCAGCGTTACTCTCCAGTTGTAGATAAAGCCGACTGTAATACCAGTTAAAAACATCGTGGTATTGCGCACAATCAGGCCCACTTTATCGCCAATACCATCTCTGATTTTGTTGATATTTCTGCAATTGGTGAATGTGTACGTCAAAAACCGAAAGCGCCTCTGTATTTCCCTCTTGTAATCAGAAACTGACGATCCCGCGTTCTCGATTATTAGCATATAGCGAAGTACTTTACAGAGAAGAATGAAAACGGCTCCAGTGGCCTGGGACTTGCTGGTGACTTACTCATTAAGCTGAGCGGTAAGTGTGCCTGCTTTTTGCTGGTCGAACCATGCAGCATCTTGTCGCAGCAGTGACTTTATATATTCGCCGCGAATTGTGCAGGAAATATTTAGAGCCGCATTTCTGAGACATATGTACTGCAAATTACCGAGTAAAAAGACACAAGCAAAAAACAGTTAGCTAAACCAGGATAAACTTTTTCTTTTTAAGCACTCGCAGCATTAGCTGCATCTTTGAATGCTCCTGTGCAAAGGCTGAGCATTAACCAATCGTGTCACCAGACTCAAAGGTAGATGAACAAACGGATGAAGACTAAGCCTACTGGCAGAATCCTATGATTTGTTCTGTTGACACTGCGCTTAAATTTCACGCTCAATAAGCCAAGTTACAATCCAGTAAAAAAGAATTTCAGTACATCCTTCATTATTTAATTGCTCTTCACATCATTTGTTATGCGTTCTTGCATATATGTAAATTGCAAAAACGCACATTGGGAAGAGGCTGTCTGTGTGTGTGTGGCTATGTGTTCGCACTTTTTGTCACCCACTTTCAACTCGGGACCCAGAAAAGCTAGAAGGCTGAAACTTT